AAGGGTTATCTGTGCATATATATTTGAGAAGTTGCTGGTAAAAAATTTATCCAGAAAAACATATATAGGCTCTTACATTTCTGGTTAGTATCATGCATTGTAAACATTAACAGCAATGTCTGTTCCTAAGAGCAGTTATGTTCGAATTTATAGCATCATGGCTAATGTTGGGAATCTTTGAATTTGATTCCAGTGTTCTGTCAGAACAGCATACATCATCAGATAGGAATACATTGTTCTCATATGCATGCACTCATACACGCAACAGAGAATTATTCCCACATTGAAATTTAGTAGCAGTGTACCGACCAGCAAAAACACGTCTATTTTAACTTTAAAAAAAGAAAATCAGCTTTGAATATATTGTTATTTCTTGGATGCACAAATGGCCAGATATGATTGAAGTTTCCGGGATGTTGACAGAAGAAACCTTTATAGCTAAAACCATATAAGTCAATATTGATTAAAAATAAGTTACTTTAGTATTAAAAAATGTGTGTGCAGGAATTTAAATTTGGTTATATATTGTTTTTATGGTTAAAATCATAGAAAGCATTGGCTGTGGTTTATATTATATGTGGTATACTTTATATAATTTAGGTTAGATAAAAACTAAGCATATGCCAATCTGACAGCGTTTGCTAGACACCGGTTCTGTTTCAGATTCCTCGTTTTGATTCTGGTTCCTGTTAAATCCGATTCTTGTTAGACAAAGGATAATAAAAAGTTTACATGTTTTAAATTAGCTGGCTCACTGGAGTTCTGTCTGGTTAAAATCCTCTGAATTTCTCAATTAAATTGTAATAAAAATCAACTTTGTGTAGACTTACTAAATAATAATAATGACTAAATAATCAATTCAATTCAGTTTATTTATATAGAACCAATTCATCTCAAGGCACTTTACAGTTCACCAGATCATACAGTCAAATTGATTAAAAGTTTTCTATCTAAGGAAAACCAGTTGATTGCATCGACTCATTGACTCAAATGCAATCCCTCACACTAAGCACATAGTTATATCCAACCAGTACCGGTATATGAATATGAAACCTATGAACTCTAATATAGTCATAAGCATTTTCTTTTCCAAGTGTTGCATTTTCATATTTTCTCTGTTTGAAAATATAATTTAAACACATTTTCACATATCCAGTGTCTGATGCTTCAGGTGCTTATATTGTATAAGACCATTTTATTTACATAATTCCGACTTCGGTGCAATGCTAAGCTGAATGTCTGAGCTGGAGGAAAAAGCAGCACAGCAGGGGGTCTTCCTGTTTATATCCTCGGTGTCATTCACTGCACCTCAGTTTTACTCAACTATCTGGAAGTAGTAATGTTTCATTTTTTTGGACAAAGCAATGATTGGATATCATACAATCATGTGCAGGTAGTGGGTTTTATCACGTAAAAAAAGAATCCAAAGGAAATAAAATTAACACGCCATTAAGTTCTGCTTGAAATTACTTAAAACTCTGGCAATCACGATATAAGTGCTTTTTATTCAATCTATAATATAATATATATCTTGCGTGGCAGATATCGTTTAAAAAAAAATCAGGAGAATCAAATGGTTGGAACCGGTTCCGATCAATTATCGATGTCCAACCCTAATCCCGTCTGATGATCTGTAGGTTTAGATTTTCTATGATTTTCTCTGTTTCAAAATTAAAAAAT